TAACATGTGCAGTTATTGGTGTGTGTGTGTGTGTGCACATCGGGAGCAATGAGAGTGAAACAAAGCTAAGCCAAAAAAGTTAAGACAGACATTTATTTTATTTATTTTTTAATGCTGCAAAGTCAACAAGCAAACATGATGGGCTGTTAAATGAAAAGGTTAGGGAAAAAATAAATAAAAGGGTGACGACACTGTACATTTACCATGAGGGACATCAGGGGTGATGCCAACGCTCTGAAGAAGAGCCTCGGCTTCTCTCCTCTTCCTCTCCAGATCGGAGTCCTCACTTCCGACCGGTCCTCCCTCAGCGCCACGTTTGGATTCTCCCTGCAGGACAGCAAACAGGTTTACCATCGACATAACAATTCACAACATCGCCGCAAACCGATGAGCATGACATCAGTGTTGCTCACATCCTTCTTTTTTTTCTCTTCTTCTTTTCTCTTCTTTTCCTCCCGGATCTGGGCAATCCGTTGCTTCTTCCTCTCCAGCTCAGCCTTCAGCTCACTTTTGTCAGACATGCTGTAAAACAGAAAAATACTATTGTTAAAGAAGCATTAACCAAACTGCAAACAGAAAAGGAAGTGAATAAATTTTGTTATTAGAGACGCACTGCTAAATTAAATACCTCTGACCACTGTTTCTTTTGTTACTGGTTTGTTTGCTTTACATTTTAATCATGTAAAGCACTTTGCATTGTCTTTGTACTGAATTGTGCTATACAAATAAATTTGCCTTGCCTTGCCTTGCCTTAAAAATATGATTTTACCATTGATGCACACAAATCTTTCATTAACAAAAACCAGACCCTGTTAGTGCCAAGACTAAAAACACAAAAACACATAAAGCCAGGCGGCAAATACTTTGGTGCAAAAATAGGGACAGTCCTCTAACTACTCAAATTTCTATTAGATACAAACCGATTTCCTCTGTCAAGGAACCTGTAGCATCTTCTCTTCTTTTACAATCAGTGTTAAAAGATTATGCATTAAATATTTAAATTAAACCAAAGTTCTCACAAATTGCTTTGATTGTTAATTCTTAGACAAAAACATCTAAATAGCCAAGATGATATTCAGACCTGTTATTAGAGCTCAAAGAAAACAAAAAAATCAATTTATAGGTTGGTAATTTGGGCTTACAGTTCCTAAGTTATTTGCTTTTCCATTTTGGTATGAAAAATAGGCGAGGATTACCCAAAATGAGGTGGATTTTAAGAGTTAAAGCCCTTTATACCTTAATTTTCAAAGTGCAGTAATCATTCTATACAGGTTATGATGCATTGACCTCAATAGAGATAGCTCTTATTCTTTATACCCTTAAATAAAAGCAGTAAGGTAATACATTTTATTGTAACTTTTTGCATAATAGTACATAACTTTTACAACATAATACAAAAATGCACGGCAGTACTTTATACCAACCGATGCCTATTCACTATCTATGAAAAGTCCAGACATGTTTTTTTTTATAGATATACTACAATAACACAGCTGCATATTATATTATATTTATTATAATGATGTGTTATCAGTTAAAATGACCCTTAAAATGTAATCATTTATATTTGTAGTATAACTAAATACAAATATGTGGAGTGCATGTAGTATAATTCTGTTAGAAGGAATTCTAAATCTGTTTCAAATTAGTTTAGACTTTTCTGTTGAAACTGTTTTTCTTCAGGATCAATCAGTGAATTATAAAACTGAATGAATAAAAAGAGGCAACAATATATGACAACACAGAATATATCCAGTTTGCTTTGTATTTGTGCAGAATCACTGCAGCCTTGGGCTTGTCACACTGGTAACATGTGAAAAAGCTGCTTGCTGTAGGAAACAATGTTCTCTTTATTTGATTTATAAACACAGCAAATTGATCGGGGGTGTTTTATTTCTAGAAAATAAATACAGCCACGTTTACTGAAGAAAATGGGATAAAATTTATATAAAATTTTGATGTCTAAAAATTTGCTGACATAAATGATGATATTATAACACTGCTGGTATAAGTGTATAATAGCCGAGATGCTAAACTCCATCCAACCCAGCCCCAAATGACTGCAGACAACTCATAAAAACAGCAGCTGTTAACATCTTATTTTATCTTTTCGCGAGAACTCACTGAATTTAATTATTTTTAATCAGAGGAAGTGGAATAAGTAGAGGCTACGTCTTCAAACCGGGACAGCTAGCTATGCTAACGTGCTAATCTCCATGGCAGCTGCGGCTGCGGGCCTACTGTCACAATAACAGGACTGCAACGGCAACAAGGCGACCGTAGAGCTTTAACGTTTACTACTTTTAGACCTACGGTATTCAATTCCTCAAGAATGTGGAAGTAAACACTTACTTGATGTCAGAAGTTATAACTAAGTGTTAAAGCGAAGAAAGACTCCAGCTTTTTGAAAGCTTATTCCCAAAGGAAGATGATGGAGGGTGGAGATGATGATGCTGGAAGAGACGCGTCCTGGCTGCGTCGAGCTTCGTCTTTATCGGTTGGACGTCAAAGAGAAGGAGAATTACTGCCACCTGCTGGTTAAAAAAAAAAGAAAAAAAATGATTTCCAGAAAAAAAAAAAATAATAATAATAATATATCGGTTGTACGTAAAAGAGCTGGAGACTTACCGCCCCCTGCTGGTGGAAAAAAATATTTCCAGTAGAAAAAGAAAGTCTTGATATTTTAATCATTCCAAAAAAGTAAAAAAAATTAAATAAATAAAAATAAAAAACAATGTTTTGATGTTTTAACATTTTCTCATTAAAAATGTTCTCCATTCTCTTCTGTTTTATTTTTATTTATTTATGTGATTTACCAACTCAAAGTAGCAGTTGTGATGTTAGAAATAATGTAGATAAGAAATCCAAAATATTTATAACCTTTGCACATGTGGAGGTTGACAATTTTGCCAATAGTTATTTCAAATCACAACTCAAAACTCATCTGTTTAAAATAGCCTATTCTCTTTAATATTAATCTCCCTTTCCCACCCTCTGTTTTGACTTGGTTTCTCCCATTGTGTTTTTTTTAAATCTTTTTTATTGTGACCTGGAGTGTCCAGAAAGGCACCTTTGAAATAAAATGTATTATTATTATTATTATTATTATTATTAATAGTAATAAAAATAATTAAAGAACTCAGCCGAGTCATATGAGGGAGAATTCCCTTAACTGGCATAAACTATAAAATTAAATTAGTCAAAATCCCTGATTTAAAAACTACAGCTTGCTTTAGACATATTAATGCTCTAACTTACATCATCTTGAAAAACTATTCATGCTTCAAAGATTTTTGTTTTATATTTATATATTTCAAGTTTAACCCCAAACTTGAGTATTTTTTGAGAGTTTATTAACAGGCTTAGAGCAGAGCATACCTGTGAACGTAAATGTAGTTTTTTTTTTTCAAGAATTCCTTTTTGCAGCTTTTACAAAAAGACTTTTGGGAGATCCCTGTACTAGATTTGTACATTTGCACAATGACATCATTGGCCATTCTGTCAGGATCTTTGGGTCATGCTTTCGGTTTTCTTTTTATTATATCTTTTATTCAAGGGCTTTTCTTACCTGGCACACATGTTGGTGTTTAGTTTTTTAGTTATATTTTGTGTTCTGCTTTTTGTGTACTGCTTGAGATTGAAGAGTAAGTGTAAGTCTCATGGGGTTTTTTGTGAGATTAATTGCTATGTTAAATGAACACCCTCTATCAGTTTTACAGCGTAGTTTTTTCCTCCTTAGCCCTGCCTTCTACAGTCCCACCTGATTGTCATATCATTCATCCATCCTCGCTGTAGCTAAAAGTCTGTAAGTTTTCAAACTACTCCTCAGACTCTTTTGTTTTTCATCACCATCCTTCCTCAGTGTTGGTGTCTCTGTCTTCTCTTGTCATGATGTGTCAAACTCTAAGTTCCCTGGTTATCAACCTCTTTGTTCCTTTCATTTTTTTAAGGATCCATCATCATTATTACTATTATCACCTTTTCTTGTCTCTTGTCTTTACTTCACTATTACAACTTATTACACATTTCTGGAAAATGCTCAAGCTTAAATCTAACGGATGGGGAGCATCTTTGAACATTAACTTTTCTAAGCTTTCATATATATAGTAGATATTCTTCTACAGGGCTTTGACTTGGCCATCCTAATTAGTGAATGTACTTTAATCTAAACCATCCCCCTGTAGCTCTATTTCCACCTAAACTATGGATCTCTGCAGTTCCTCCACCGTTGCCATGATTTACTCCCTAAACCATCTCTCCTTAATCTACTAGTTAGATGGATGGTTACCTCTAAGGGTTGCTGTTGTTTCAATCTCTTCATTCACTCTAAAATGAAAATGAACCTCTAACTTAAATGCATTGCTTCAATTGGTAACAAGTAATTGAATCAAGTGTATCCAACTTAATCTATTAAGCTTATACGTTGAAAACTTAAATACACCAAGATGGGCAAACTTAAATGAATTATTTGTTTTTTAAAAATTTATTTTTATGAAGAATATTTCATTAAAAAACATCCTTGATATTCTAAAGGTATATTTGATTTATTTAATTTTACATATGGAAATGTTTCAGAATTATTCTGTCAAGTTTGGTGGAAGTTAGTTGAGGACCCAAATGCAGAGATGAGGAGGAAGAGAAGATTTCTAGCAAATTTCATTTAGATGTAGATGGTAACAAAAGCACAAATCCGGGAATAATAAACAGGTTACCAAAAACTAGGAGACGCCAGAGAGAAACATACATGAGGAATGAAGTAAAGAAATGAACACAAAATGGAAAAGAAACAAATGAGCAATAAATGCAGAATGACAAAACAACTGTAACTGAAAACTCAAAAAGAAAAACAAATCCACAGAGGACAGAATCATGACATACTCCATCACATTGTACAGATACTGTATGGTTTTTTAAATTTGGAATCATTTGTTAAAATGTCCTACTGTAACCTCATGTTTCAGTCTAGTTGTCGACCAGTTAGTCATTGTTTCCTATTGTCTTTACTGTGGAGTGGGAGCTGTCTCAGCATATCGAAATGGGTCGTAAAGGTCACGTTTGAAATCATAAGGGTCAAAATAAGTAGAAGGGATATTCTTTTTATCTACATTTGTAATAAATTGGACTGTCCCTTCGTCTGTTGTGTCTTTATCTGGTTCAAGGTTGTCTTCTAATGGTGCTGAAGCTTCCTGTACAGGACCGGGAGGCTGGTCGATGAGACAGTCTGGATCCCAGTACGGGTCACACTCATTCTCCATCTCTCTCATGGTGACTGGTGGAGGGGTAGGTGGGTAAACCTTTCCAGGAGCAGGGGGAGCTGGCATTGGTGCAACAGTAGCTTTAATCCTCTTTTCTTTCTGAGCCCTGCAGACGGGGTTGAGTCTGGGGTCACACAGTATGGGGACAGCTCCCGTTGGCAGGTAGACAACATGAGGTTTGCACAGAGGGTCCTTAGGGTTGCACAGATAGATCTCCTCAAGTTGGTCTGGTGTGGGAGTCGGGGTGGTGGGAGGTGCAGGGGGATGAGTTGTTGTAGGTGGTTCTTCAGTGCTGGTTAGTACACCAATTCTGTTTTGGTAGTGGGAGGCGTCTGGGCCATTGGTCAGCTCCAGGTGACGCATCTGCTGATACAACATCCTGATCCGATCAATCTCATAAAGCTGATGGAGAAATGGACAGGAGGGACATTAGAGGAGAAACACAGTCTACATCTAACGGACGCTGAAACACAAAACACATGGATGACCCCTGAAAAAATGTATCAGACTAATAAGTGTAGAGGATCTCTAACTTACACCCTCAATGTGTCCTATGCTGTTGTAGAGGCGGTAGTAGGACTGAAAGTCAGGGTCACGTCGGTACCATTTTGGATCAACGTTCCTCTTGGATCGAGGGTTGGTCAAGAAATCATTTGCTTCAGCAGAACCAATCCTGACAGGATTTTCTGTGGGGGATGTAAAAGATTTGTTCAGATTAGGGATGGAAAGAAAACACACTGCATCTTTAGCTGGAATTTAGAACTTAGACTTTATTGTCTAAGTAAACTTTGATGCCTGAAATTTTCAACATTGAACAATGTCTTACAACAGTGAAATGATAAATGACCATTTATAAAGTACAGCAGTGATGTAGAAGTATCCTACTACATTTTTTAAAGATTACTCTATTACAAATTAATATAATCCCAATTTAAGATAATAAGAGGTGAAATACCATCAGGCCTTTTTATTTTAAGCAGAGATGTTGCTCCTAGGAAACCTAAAGGAGGAAAGGAACCAAAAACATAAAAATACAATGATATAGAACTATCTTTTAAGCAGTGTAAAAAGACTAAAATACTTGACAGATAATAAAAGCAGTATGATTTGTTTTTCTTTCATGCATAAAAAAACTTTAACATACATTTAATGTGAAATTATAAATGATTCTAACAATCTATTGACTGACCTGGCATCAACAGCAGACAGCACAGTGCTCTTAACAAGAAAGCCAGGGAAAACATCACTGACATCTGGAATAACATGATCAGATACAGTGAGGTTAGCTGTTTATGCATTTTGTTGCATCACAGCTGTAGTTGAATGTTTCTATTACAAAATACCAGATTTGTATTTTTATTTTTTTGTAAAGATCATAAATGTTTGTTTTTTTTTAATTGTTATAAGTCCCAGCAAGTACTAGGATTTTCTGCCTTAGCTTCAGCAAAATAAAAATGAAATATTTCTACACAGTACAAGTAATCTGCTTACCTGTTCCCACATCATCATGGTTCTGATCTTGTCCCCAGCTTTACATCACATCCATATGAAGTGCTGAGGAAAGTCTTGAGGCCCTCTGATTGGATGACTTTCCCAGGCCAGAGGGCTGAAACTCCACCCATTCTGCATTTTCTCTTCAAATGTGGGGAAACTCGTTAGTACAGCGCATTTCAAGCATCTGTTTATTACTAACTTCAAACAAAATTGGACGCCTCGTAAAGAAAGAGTGCTGTTTCAGCAGAACGACCACCTGCTGCAAAGAGAGTTCAGCTTCTTTGTTGCCCCTTCCTTTGCACAACTGACTAAAAGAGTCACTCAAGGTAGAGTTTGTGCCAAAAAAATGTAAATATGTTGATTTACGTAAAACAAAAGGGGGGGGGGGCTTTAAATTTCTTTAAATGTGTCCTGTTTCTGATTTGCTTCAGAAACTTGCCTGTGACAAATAACAATTATCAACCTACGATTAAACAGCTGGAAATGGCTTTTTAACTGTGGTTACAAAGCTGAGTCAACTATTGTTTAGGCTTCTCAGAAAAATGCTGGAATTATGTGACGGCTTGTTCAAACATCAAACCAAGGTAACACAATCTGGTAAATGTTGTCCAGAGACCCTGAACAGCTTATTTAAACCGAAACATGTTTAAATAGAAATATAAAAAGTTGTGCTTCACTTTTTGGTAGAAGGATTGTGATACTGCACACGAATTCTAGGATTTTCAATTATAACGGTAGAGATTATGAAGGCTTTAGGAGTTTTTTCAGAAAATATTAGTGAACAAATGAGAACACAGCACACAGATGAGGGATAATACTTAAAAGAATGTTTAAATTGATGGGTTATAAAAAAATCCTTAGCGTTGAACATATCACAGAGAGAACAGCCATCTGAAAATAGCTGATGGAACTGCAAACCTAGGAATTACAAGCTTTATAAAAAGTGTTTGTAAAACAGTGTTCAATTTCAATACTGTTTATTTATTAGCGCCTATTAGAACACATGTCATCTCAAGGCACTTTACAGAGACAATTCAACCCTATCATAGAGTCAGATTGGTTTAAACATTTATATCATTTCTATCATTCTACCATTTGTTTTTAAACCTACTGTGTGTAACGAACCTAGTGAATTATTATTATTTTACGCACAAACTAGAACAAAAATTTGTCTGGGTCGTGAGGTGGGGCGGCGTGCTTGGATGTAGGGAGTGGAGGGACGGAGGAAGCTCTGTGTGGTGGGTGTTGCTGGGGGTGTGCAGGGCGGGTGGTCATCCCACGTGGATTGTTTTCTTGTGGTTGGGTTGTGCGGGGGGCTCTGTGGGTGGTTGCGGACTATACCCTGTGTGGAAGGGTGCATTTGTGTGTCGGGGCACGTCATGAGGGTCTCGGGGGTCCATGCACGATTGCAGTAGGGTTTGGTGACCATGGTACTTTGTGATTTGGTTTGTGGTTGTTTGTGTACCGGAGTTGCTTTGGCAAGTCTTTTGCTGTGCATGCGTGGATCTTGTGTGCTTGCATGGGTCTACTGCGTGTGTGTGTGGAGCTTGTACTGTGTATGTGGTTTTTTCTTATGCTTGCATGGATTGTGCTGTGTGTTTGTGGAGCTTGTTCTGTGAATGGGTAAATCACATGTGTGTATCTTTGAAAATTGAGACTGATTTAGCTCCATACATGATCTATGTTACCATTGTTTTCAAATCTGTTTTAAAGTTATTTTAAACCACATTTTCTGTAATGAAAAGTACCCTCTGAAGCACTTAATAAGGAGGACGTTATCACATATGGATGATGATGTAGCTCTGTATCTGCATCATTTGGAAATCTCGTATGGTAATCATAGAAGGAATTTCTTTCTTCACAGAGAAATATCTTTTTAATGGGAATATGTTCAGCAGATGTGCAGCCGCTTGTTGAAAGAAGGTGAGTTTAATGGAAGTGATCAAAGGAAGGTAGAAGAGATTTCTTCTTGTCCGCATAAATCAGAATTATGAAACCGCTGTCCTACTGGTTTCAAGAGAAGTAACATCAAATATTAGTGAAGAGGACCAATCAAAGCTCAAGCAGAGTCAGCAGCCAGACCTGCAGACTCAGCTGCAATAAGCCCAGTGATAGCATGGTAAAATGTTTTGTTATATTCATACAAAGCATCTGTCTTCTTGTTTAACCATAGGTGTTATCTGAGTATTTGAACTTCCCTCTTGACCACATGCTTAACATTAGAAATGTGACTAACTTTAGGTGGACAAGTAGTGTTTAAATGGTGTTACATTTGGGTCAACCAACTAATTCTTTGAAAGCTACATCACTGGGATATAGAGAAACCCTCATGAGTAAACATGGACTAAAGGTGCAGAGACAAGTGTAACTTTTTCTATCACTGCATGGGCTGTGGCTGTAAAATATTTTTATGAAAGTCTAGTTTTTCTGAGAAATACAAGTGTTGATGCCACTGGGCAATGCAGGGACAATTCCAGTCACTTTTAGGGTTTTTAAATACAGTCCTTACAGTTAAAGTGCCTTTCGCTGGTCGTGTAGAGATTTATATCCAGTGTTGGTTAATAACACAGAGCTTTTCTTCAAGACACTTCTGACCCTTTCCCCCTTACAGGGTGATCACCATACAAATCGTCTTAGCTCTACCATTGTCTTATGTGGACATGTTTGCTGTGGATTGACAGCACAGTTCCATTCATCTACAATCTCAAAATATGACAACTTTTTGAAAGGTTGCAGCTCATTGAACTAAATACATCCAAGTTGCTTCAAAACTGAATTTTATTATTGTGATTAAAAGAAACTTCTTAATCTAATTATCCCTAGAAAATTTATAAAATGATTTTCTTTTGATTCCAGCATCTCTGCTTTAATCAGATTTTCTTCTTCAATTTTACACATAAACTTAGAATACCTATTTTCATCCACAAGCTTGAAGATGACTGAAACTGGAAAATATTTTATAGAAATTACAGTATTTGACCTTTGAAAGGAACTTCTATGATTTTGGCGTGTTTGACAAAAAGCGACAGACCCCACTCCTTCATCTCTGGACCAGTGGCTGTGTGGCCTTCTCCTTGATTATGCTGAGTCCAGCTCCAGTCAGTGCATGGGATGCTGTTTGTAATGAGAAATTTAAACAGGGAACATCAGTGAAGCATGACAGGAATGTGTTTCCATTGGATGGGCTCCGTGCAAAAAAACAGAATACGGTAATAATATGAAAAGACAGAGATGAGTCCAAATGGAGAGCTCACTCTGGCCAAAGCGGAAGACTAATGTTATTGTACATTTGCTCTCACTCTGCCAGTCATAATTGGTTCTTGTTCTTCCTACCAGTTCCCCCCCTTCTGTCTCCCACTGCTTCTCCATACTCTGTTTGCTCAGGTGGACAGTGTCCCCTGCCTCTCACTTCTGGCTGTGTCATCGGCTCTGAGTCTAAAGTTGGAGCTCCCACCAGGTTCCCCCAGGGTGGAAGGGAACAGGACGTTGAGTGAAAAATGCTTTAGCAGCTTTGCCTCGTCTGTTCCTGTGTGGCTGTGACACCATCCTGGAGAGAAATATCAGCTGTAGCTTCTTTTTTTTGTGGCTCTGCTGTGATGAAGGGAAGTCTTTGCCTGTGTGATCCCTAACCCTCTATGAGGAGCTTTCTCAATAAAAGCTCTGGGGTCCTCTGAAGGGCCCCTCTCTGCTCTTTTATTATCACAGCCATTAAACCCCTGCAATGGATATATTCCCTTAAAATGAACAGCTATATTCTGGAACAAACTCTACCAGGTTAGCTCCAGTTATTTTCTTAAAAATACCAAGCATGACTGATCTAAAGGAGAATTATATCTAGTTTTTATTCTTTGACGGTTGTATGATGTGAACTGTCTGTATTTAAAACAGTGTTTAAGAGATGCAAAGTTACAAATAAGTAAGGAATGCAAACACAAAAACAGGCTTGCAAACACAAAAATGACTATCAAATACAAAATTAGACTAACAACAAAAAGATGCCAAGGAAAATACCAACAAGTAGCAAAAACAACTGGAAGTTAGGAAGCTGCAAAGTAGCTGAACATAATGAAAAAGCTCCAGACCACTAAGGGGAGATCATGAACTAATATGCAACCATTGCCTGGACCTTACTATGAATTGTCTACGGACCAGATCCACCTCACAAACATAAATGGGATGCCTGAACAGGATATATTTCAGGGAAAGAAAGAAAAAGCTAAGTTAACCTAAATGTCTCCTTTAAACAATTAATCTGAGCATCATATTTATGTCTTCACAGGGGGTCTGGTTCCATATGTGTTGGTGATGGTCTCCCCCCAGTAGTGTGGAGCAACTCTGTGGTCAGGAGCTGGTTTGCTGCTTTTCTCAACTTGCAGTTGTTTTTGCTACTTACAGCGTTTTTCCAAAAATAGAGTAGCAAAGTAGAGTTGCTTATCTCTATTTTCTGCGTTTGCACATGGCATGCAATTAGTGTTTTAGTCTAATCTTTGTGTTTGCTAGTCTAGGATTTTTTTGCAGTACTTTTTGTAATTGTAGCCTATTTATGTACCTGCAGTGCATTTGCACCTCTTATGACCACCATCATTTAGAGCAGCCCATTAGAAATGATAGACAAACCACTCTCTCTTTCTTTGAGGCAAAAACTTTTCAGAATCAAGTGTATCCTTATATCATCCTACTTGTACATTCCCTCTAAACTGAGCAGCCAATATTTAAATAACAGAAACTGAAAAGCTGAAAAACACTTTTGTTAGTTTCTTGTTTTGATAAACTGAAACGTGAATGCTATGTGTGTGTGTTGGGATCATGGGTGTTAAAAGTCCCCAAAACAGGGTGTACTGATTTTTCTTCCTTTTTTGAATTATTTTAACTGATTTTGTCATTTAACTGAAATAGGATAAGAAATGGACTTACTAGTTGCTACGCATCTGAAGAGCACAGGTTAAATGACCATGTTCTTACTGGTTTAGGGTCCATCTTTAGATTTTTGTTCAAAAGGGAGAGCTCAATATGAGCAGTCAATATTATATAAAAAGACCAAGTCTGTTAAAAAAAAAGATGGAATATATATTTCATATATATTGAATATATAAAAAGAATATATAAAAAGAAAGACTCCTCTCTGGAAATGGACAGGGGAGCCAGATACAGAGTCTAATAGTTTGGTCTGTAACGTTATGTCTGAGGACTCATCCAGAAATTCCTCTTTTTTTACCTCTACTGTGCTTTATGCCTTAGATAGCATCTTCTTGTTACTCAAACTTTATGATAATATTGTTAATTATCATTGAAGGTC